CTTATGATAATGCTAACCTGCTATTCGTAGAGCAGAATATCCTAACCTCAACTCTCAAGTCTCATTTGGTTAAATAGTCATAAGATCTAACAAAAAGAAATATGAAATTCTACTCCCACGTACCTACATTGTGACCCTTGCCTTCGGTGTCTTTCCTCTGGCTTCTGGTAGGGTGTGAACAACACAGCCCTTTGTTTTGCTGTCTTCTCCCAGGCGTGCTGCCTCTGGGCCACGCCAGCCAAAATGCGATTCTGCCCTTCAGAGCAATTCCCCAGGTAGCCAGCCCCCTTTGTATGTCTTGAGCATTTTCCCTGGCTTTATAACCTTAGGATGCACTTTTAATAATTGCTGTATAGTATCTTATTTCAGTTTCCCATCTTGATTATTCCCATAATGTCACTTGTTAAAATTCTTCCTGGTTTCTAAAATTACAAGCAGAACTTTCGGCATAGACCCTTGTACTGCTTCATTTCCTAGGCCAGTTTCCCGGAAGAGAATTCAGTCAAGGTGCTTGATAACTAGTGCCACCTGTTTCCTACAGTGTGTATTTGGTGTCTTCCCATTTTAGAGCCAGTGTGAAATAGAAGCAGGGACTTGTCCAGGTCCACTTTGAGAGTCGTCAGCAGGGACAGGACTAAAAGTCAGTCTTCCGTGTGTGATTGTCCTGGCCTGTGAGAGCACTGAAGAGGTCTATTCACGGTTCACATGCTTCTAAGAACATACTGTGATTTCTGTTGTTATTCTCAATGTTGTTTTGGTTTCCTGGCAGGTGACTCGGGGATAATTTACTGCCTGTCCAGGCGGGAATGCGACATAATGGCTGACACGCTGCAGAGAGATGGCCTTGCTGCTCTTGCTTATCATGCTGGCCTTAGTGACTCTGCCAGGGACGAGGTGCAGCACAAATGGATTAATCAGGATGGCTGCCAGGTAGCATGTTAAAGTAAAAGAAATGTCTTTTGTAGGACATAAGCAAACTTGCATGTGTACAATGAAAATTGTTCATATCTTAAAGGTGGTAAACATCAAAATAAGACTGAAATTGAGTCTGTGATGTCATGAATAACCTGAGAATATCAGTGAGAAAAGATACAAAAATTGAGGGGAAGATGAAAATGTTCTCTGTTAGCAAAAGGAAACAGGGTCAGCCTGGGCCCGGTAAGTACACCCCAGAGGGATGGCGGGGTAGTGGAAACCAGGCCGAGTCACTGTTGGAAATAGATGCATGTGGCAGCCTTCAGAATCACAAGAAGGAAGACTGCCCAGCGTGGTGGTGCACACCTGGAGCCCCAGCACTTGGGAAACAGAGGCAGGAGAATCAAGAGTTCGAGGCCAGCTTGAGCTACATCATAAGACCCTGACTGGAGAAAAAGAGGGAAAACTGGAACTGAAGAATTTCATGCCCAGATCACTGTCATTCATTTTGAAAACAACACGACAAAGTTAGAAAATATATCAGTTTACCTTCACTGAAAAAATTACAGATTCCAGTCTTCCTAAATTAATTCATATGTCTAATCAAAATTCCAGTGGTGTTTTTCCTTTGACAAACTTCTTCTAAAGTTTGCCTGGAAGAATATTCAGCTGAAAATAGCTGAAAGAATTTTTCAAAAGGAAAAAAAGAACACACAGATACTGGTTTGCTGTACCTTGTATGGATCAAACATGAATGGACTGGAAAACTTGGGCTGGAGGCATGGCTTAAGTGGTAGAGCATCTGCTTAGCAAGCACAAGACCTTGAGTTCAAATCCCAGGACTGCAAAAAAAAAAAAAAAGAAAGTTTTTTCTTTTTTTTCAAATCCTTTAAATGTTCATATTACTGTAAATATTGTACAATGAAGAGATATGTATTTATAATTATTTCTGCTGTCAGAATAGCTAATTCTTACAGTCAAGGTACAATGTTAGAGCTGGCACACCTGTTATTCCAGCTACTTGAGAGGCCAAGGCAAGAGAGTAGAATTCAAGGCTAGCCTGGAAAACATTGTTAAGAGTCCGTCCTAAAAGTAAAAGAATAAAGTTACTATGTTAGTTTATACTACCTGGATAGCTTTGATCTTGCTAGGTTCATGAGACAAAATTAAACTTGATTGTTTTCCTTTTCAAAGAATGATTGTAGCTTGAAGTTATAAAAACAACACAGAAATAAAGAAGGACGTTAACAAAACTGGGTGCCGGTGACTGGAAACTGTAATCCTAGCTACTTTGGAGGCTGAAAATCAGAAGGATCAGAGTTCAAGGCCAGACCAGGCAAATAGTTAGTGAGACCCTCTCTCTAAAATAACTAGAGCAAACTGGACTGGAAGTGTGGCTCAATCAGTAGAGCAGCTGCTTTGCAAGCCCAAATCCCTAAGTTCAAATCCCAGTACTGCCCAAAAAAAAAGAGGAAGTTAAAATTCAACAAAGCCAGTTTCCAGTTAAAGAAATAAGAGCTTTCAGAAGGAGTTGCCTCGTTGTGGCCTCACTCAGATGTCCCTATTAAACCCAGGAAGACGAATGGATTCCAGAAAGCCTGCAGGCCACACTGGCAAGAGATGTGCCCCTGTCACTTATGTGACCTCTCCAGCTGCTGTCCATCACTGAAGGCTGCAGTAGACTTTCTCTTTCATGGGAGATCTCCTTTCTGAGAGATGGAAGTGCCATAAATTTAGATGGCTTCCAACCTAGAGCACGGCCGCCACCATTCCCTGTGCTGGCACATGTACCCATCTGCTGTCCATGGACCCCATGGCTTGCACATTCCTCTCTGGCACCCACAGTTACTGAAATCATGTCATTAGCCTCAGTCTGGTGCCAGATATTTCCACTGCTTTTGAAATGCTGTTCTTGCTGTAGCAATTCATTTTTTTTTTAAGTGCTAAAAACAGACTTGCAGCTTTACTTGTATAAGTGTAATTTTGCCTGGAGATACAGCATTTTGTTCTGGGTTAAGGAGGTCCTACATTTGCAACTGAAAAGGATATTTAACTATTACTTCACTTCCACTAAGTAATTTGTGTAAGCCAGCATTGACAATACTTGGCCTTTTTTCTTCTCTTTTTGGTATAAGCAGCTCTCAGGCTTTTATCTACATGAGTTTCAATTAAAATTTCATAAGTTTTATCTTTGAAATCAGCTGTGGAATAAGAGGCGTTAGCTCTGATCAGCTGAGGCTTCAGGGAGAACGCTGGTGGTGTGAGTCCTAGGAGGACCTCCTCCAGGTCCCTCCGGGAGCCAGAGTCCCCAGGATGCCAGGACGTCAGGAGCGCCTGAGCACATGTTGCTTGTGTATACCACCCTGGATGCCCTGGCCGTGGGAGCAGCCACCTCCATATCGAAATGTAGAGGGCAGACCCTGGGCACACAGTCAGTTCTGACACTCGCCCGTGGTGATGTGAATCATGCAAGACAGTGCCGGCCACCCTGAGCTGCTCTTCACCTTCCCCGGTCTTAGCAGAATTGCACCTGACCAAAAAGAAAACCTCATCTTAAGTCATGCAAATAACGAGCCATGTGAAGACCCTCGGTTGCCGTGTTGAATGCATTGCAAAGTGAAGAAGGGATGGAGCTTTGGAGCTTTTAGAACATCCATTATTAAAACATTCCTGTGAGTGCACTGTTGTCTAACAGGCTTTTGGTCTCCTCTCAGGTCATCTGTGCCACGATCGCGTTTGGAATGGGAATTGACAAGCCCGATGTGCGGTTTGTCATTCACGCCTCACTCCCTAAGTCTGTGGAGGGCTACTACCAGGAGTCCGGCAGAGCTGGAAGAGATGGGGAAATGTCTCACTGCCTGCTTTTCTACACCTACCACGATGTGACCAGACTGAAGAGACTCATCATGAGTAAGCCAAAGTGCCACTGGGGACACCGTGTCATCTTCTGTCCCGTGAGAGTAGTCACTCTTGCTGTTGCAGTGTTCGGGTCCTGTTTTCCTTAAGTAGTCACAGAAAATTAGAGGTGCTTATATAATATGTGCTTGCTTGGTACATTCAAATGATACAGACGCGTACGAAGCAGAAAATTCCCAAACCACACCTTGTTACCTTGCCCCAGGAAGTAACTCGTTACTGGCTTCCCTATGTTCCTTCCAGACCCAGTTCACTCACACACCCCTACTCACAGCACATACTTCAACAAAGATGGAAGGAGAAACAATGGGCTTTCATCACCACCATGCACTTCAAGAAATAAAATCGAATCAGGTGCAGTGGCACACACCTGGGTCCCAGCCCCTGGGGAGGCTGAGGAGTTGAGCATGAGGCCAGCCTGGCAGAGCAGAGAGACCCCATCTCAACACAGAAGCAACAGAGCAGAAGCCCTGTGTCCTGTGCCTTTCTCCACTGTCTCACCCCGTTCCCCATTGGAGGCAGGCAGCATCTTGTGTTTTATGATTACCTCCCACAAACACACGTGTCTAAAAACATAGCTACGTTCTTACACATATTGATCTGGCTTTTTCAGTCAACAGCAGGGTGTGATTATCTCCCAGTTAATACACAGAGCTTGCTACATAGAATTCCACACTATGATTATGCCATGTTTATTAAGCTAGTCCCCTCTTTTCTTTTTTCCTGGCAGTACTAGGCAGGTCCTCTGCTGCCATGCCCCCAGCCCTTGTTGCTTTAGTTATTTTTCGGGGAGGTCTCACATTTTTGCCCAGAGCTAACCTCAGACCACAGTCCATCTACCTATGCCTCCTGAGTAGCTGGAATCACAGGCATGAACCACCACGCCTGGCTAATTGATTGTGATGGGGTCTCACTGAGTCTTTGCCTGGGCTGGACTTAACTGCAATCCTCCCAATCCCCATCTCCCAAATAGCTGGGATTACAGGCATGAGCCAGCATGCCAGGCCATCAGTCCCACTTAAAGGATATTTAAACTGTTCATTGTTTTTCCCTGTTATCAAACATGCAGTATTGAACATCCTTGTGCAGATATCTTTGGGCATTTGTGCAATTATTTATATAGGCTAAGTTTCTAGACTTATTGTCCTCTGTCAAAGCGAATGCATACTTTAGGATTTTATTCTATCCTTTGCCCATACTTCTACTCAATTATGATCTGTTTTGAAACCACCTTCTTAACAAACTCAGGCAGAGGTGCTAAACATGGTGAATGGTGCTACCGACTCTGAATGCATCACTCATTCCATATGTGCCTGGAAGGTAGAGCTGGTCAGCAAGATAGAGGCCCTCCGTGGGAAAAGTAGGCTCCAGAAAGGTTTTGTGAACATACCCCAGAGAGCATGGATAGTGGCCACAGTACAGAAGTGGTGATTGCTACAGGAACTGTTTCGTCACATGTAATGTTTGAATGACTTACACATATCAACTCGTTTATCTTCACAGCAACACTAAAAGATAAGACTATTGCCTACCTCATTACAGAGGTTAGTGCTGAGCCCCGACCCTGACCCTGACCCTGACCCTGACCGACCCACATTCACCTGACTCCAAAGCCCCGAGTTCTTACATGTACCAAAATAATCCTCAGCAAAAAACAACAAATATTTGGGCTGGAGGCATGGCTCAAGAGGTTTTGCAAGTGCAGAGCTGTAAGTTCAAACATTTGGAATGTCTTTAAGCAAAATCTGTAAGACAGTCTTTAATTATGATGGTTTGATGACTTTACAATGGTGCAAATGCCATGCCCATTTCAGAAGAAATGTGCTTCGAGTCCTTAATTTTGACGTGTCTCCTGAGCTGACCTCTCCCATGGTGCAGTGTCCACTGGGCCCAGGATCACAAGGGAAAGAGTCTCACTCTTCCTGCACTGTGCTGCTGAGTGTGTTAAATGCATCTAAAAAGACAAAACAGTAAAGAATGATTTATTAGGAAAATAGGGTGACACCTCGACGAAGCTGCAGGGCTTTGGGTTTCATCCAGTAGGCGGGGTTACTGTGGCCACTGCACAGAGGCTGTCTGGTATGGCTGGCATTCACCCTGACATGGGAAGTGGACTTAAGGATGTGTGGTCATTATCTTAATCATTGGCCCAAGGTGTGCACCATTGTGTCAGTTATTGGTCCTGGGTGAGTCACCTGGGTTTAAAGCAGTACATTTCCCTGTCCCTGCTCTTCCTGCGTAGATGTCCAGTGTAATGTCCCCCTCGAGGACTCAGGACTGGGTGCTCAGTTCTTTTGCAGAATGGACAGCAAGTTCAGTCTGGCTAAGTGCTGTTGAGAGCGTGGTGGGGTAACTCAGGGTCCAGTCTTGCTCTCTCAGGACACAGGCCAGTTGATTGGGCTCTGGCAGAGACAGATGCTAAGAATAAGACCATTCTCTTGTGGACCAACAGAACTACAGTGGTCACAAAAAGAAACAGCCATTGATCTGAGGACATAAAGGTATTTTGTAGCCTGGAAGTTAGAAATTTAATAAGGTATAAAAATTAGAGGCCCAGGGCTGTGGGCATGGCTCAAATGGTAGAGCACCTGCCTAGCAAGGACACCACCCAAAAAAAGAAGAAAAGAAAAAAAAAAAAAATGTAGGTCCAAATGAACCAAGTAGCGGGATTAGGGTGGGGAGCAAGAGGTATATCTGATCACGAAGTGTCGGTCAAAGGTGTGGTCCAGCCAGTCACCATCCCAGGGCTAGTCAGGCAAGGCTTAGCATGGAGGAGACAGGTACAAATGAGGCAATGTCTGCGGGGCTGTGTGAAAAGACACTGCTTTTTAACAGCAGCAGGTTTGATAGCTGCTATAGCCCGCTGCGTCCAAACAGTGCTCCATCTTGAGGGGATCAGGGTGTAGCCATTGGAGCTTTGTGAGTCTCCCTCCAGCCCATGGGTTCAGTGCTACATAGAAGGAACAGGTTGCAGTGGTGGAAGCATTCATGTGAACAGAGCCCACCGTTGAAGCAAAAACTAGAAACACCATTATAAAGCAGAATGCAAAAGGGAGGAAAGTCAGCAGGTGCGAGTTCACCTCCTGTCATAGGTGCCCGAAGGACTTGAGGGTCGGTGGCTGTGCTTAAGAACTCTCTCCATAACCTCTAGGCTTTAGTTACTTTTGGAAGGGTTGGCACAAGTGACACTGACTCAGGATTCTCCTGTTTTAGGCTTCCAAGTGCTAGGATTATAGGTGTGCACCACCATACCTGGCATGACTTCATTTTTATTCTGACAATTTGTCCCCTTGTTGCTGGAGAGTTTTCTCTGGTTAATCACTCTGTGGCTTGTCTTTAACAGTGGTTCGCCACTGGGCTGAGATTTGCTGGTTGATCTGAGTTGACCCCACACAGGGAAAAAGTGCCAACAAGACCCTTTTAGACAGGTTTGAGTCACTAAGAGGTTTGCAAGGAGTGACTTTTAGGTTTGCTTTGGAAACCATTCTGTCAGTCCTACCTGTGATATCGCAAAATATTGGTCACGCTGTATTGTGAGAATCTGTACTTCAAATGTCAACAGACAACAGAAAGTTTTATAAAGGAAATTTTAAAGAAAAGAGCAACTATCTAAAGAAAAGTAAATCATTTAACAAATAAGTACTTGTAAGAGTCATCTCTATGAATCCAGAGAAGAAAGCAAAATTTAGAATCTTTGGTTCAGTAAGATACTAGGTATTCAGCTCTGACAACAACAAATGAAAGACAGGCCTCTCAACACGTTTAGGGGACTGTCAGTGACCACAGATAGACTTATGTCCTGATGTAACGTAGACAAAATTGTTTCTTTTCCCAATAAAACAAAATAATCTTAGTCTGCTTTCAGTGAAGACCCAGAAGAAAATCAGTCTCAGATTCTTTCTATATGATAATGACTCACAGGACACATGTGTTAGTGGACCTGTATATGTTGTTTGGTGTTCTTATCTGGGGCTCAGAGGTAGGCCAGGGAAAGCAACATAGAATGTTATCGCTTGAGGGCTGGGGCTGAATTGAACCCTGTCGTCCCGGGGCTCACAGTACTGTTAAGTGGCCTGGGTCTCCTGACTTTCTCGAGGGAACATTTACGTGCCCTCTAATTTGCTTTTGGTCCTGGTAGAGCTGAAATGCAGTTTCCCCAGGGAGTTCCTTCATTTTACCTTGTGACCTCAGAAGAAATGACTGAAAACCTGATAGCGTGGAGTCCCAGGTCAGGAGGGAGCTGTTACTGCATGAATATGCAAAGCGTGGATGTGCGCTGTGCAGTGGTGAGGCCCCAGCGGTGTGGGGAGCTCATCGTCACTCCAGAAAGCTAGGAGTTGTGGTGTTTGGAAACTGGGCAGGGAGGGAGACAAGGTACAGACTTGAAAGGAAGGAGAAAAGCAGGAGATCCCGGAAGACATCCCCTAGCCAACAGAGCAGACAGGCACAGGACTTACTCCTTTAGCAGATCCTTGTCACAGCACCAGACTGCTTCCCAAGGTTGGTATCCCTGGTGGTCCTCAGTTCTTGGGTATAACATCTAAGGTTAGGGCACTACCCCAAGCTGACCTGGAACACACAGTGCTCCTGCCTCTGCCTCCCAAGTGCTGGAATTATAAGCATGCACCACCACACCCAGCCATGTTCATTTTCTTGGAGTACTTGTTTTCATCAGCAGCTGCCAGAATTCCAGCTTCACAAAGCTGTAACATTACCAGAAGAAGCATAATGTAATCTAACGTCAGCACCATGACCTGCCTCAGATTACTAGTGTGGGTGGTGCTGCTGCTCCCCTTAAATTCAAAGTGTCCTGCTGCTGTGGGTTCACTGTGGCACCCTAGGTTCCTTGGCCTAGTTTTAGAGCCACTGGCTTCACAGGAGGCTCAGGTATGGGAACATACACAGTTCCAGGCTTTGTTTCCCTCGAATATTCAGATCAGTATGTATTTGTCTCATAAATACAGGAATTATAAGTCAAACCTTCATCATTGGGGATAATGAAGATTGAAAACAAATTTAATATGAAAAAAATGTAACATTCCTATAAAACTAAACGCTTGCAAGCTCAACGTAAATACCATTAATTGTGAAGCAGAATGACGTCGTATTGGCATAATGCTGTCAATGGTAATTTTCTTATTGAGTATTTAAAGAATCCAGCGAGGCATGGTGGCACTCACCTGCAGTCCCAGCACTATGGACACTGAGCCCAGGAGTTTGAGGCCAGCCTGGGCAAAATAAATGAAACCCCTAGTCAAATAAAAAAAAAAAAAGAGTTACCTATTCTAAATAATGCTTTCTATCCTCTAGTTTTCTACTGTGATAAGTAAGTATTTTACTGTGCTTTTCATCCCTTTCAGTGGAGAAAGATGGAAACCGTCACACAAGAGAGACTCACTTCAATAACTTGTACAGTATGGTGCACTACTGTGAAAACATAACAGAGTGCAGGAGGATACAGCTTTTGGCTTACTTTGGTGAACATGGATTTAACCCTGACTTTTGTAAAAAGTACCCAGATGTTTCTTGTGACAATTGCTGTAAAACAAAGGTAAAGTAAGAAAGTTTTTAATTCTTTAATAATTTAAGGAAATTGCCAACGTGTATTATTCTCTTAATTTGGAAAAGTAGATATAAGTTCTACCCCAGATTGTGGTTCAAACAAGGGACGGTGGTCTACCTCACCCCCCTCATTGCAATTTAGAAAAGGAATATGTTTAAAGTGACTTTTTTAAAATGGCTTTTCTTTAGAAGTAGATGCTATAAGAAATATGCTGGGACCCTTCTGGCTAAATATTGTCAACATGTAAACATCGAAAGATCAAAGTTTTAACAGGTAGAATGTTTAAATTCAACTACAGCTTATATTTAGAGATGCCGTTTTCAAAAGAGTGATATCATGTACTGTGTTTGAAATCAAATCATTTTGTCATGTTGTTTTGGGGTTTTTTTGTGGTTTTTTTTGGGTTTTTTTTGTGGAACTGGGATTTGAACTCCTTGAGCCACACTTATAGTCAAAATCAAATAATTTGAATTACATGAGTTATTTTTGGAGGGTTGGGATTTGGAGGGGGTGGTCTTTTTCAACTCTGAAGAATAATGAGCAGGTGTGGTGGTGTGACGCCAGCCCTCGGGATGCCGAGACAGGAGGGTCCTAAAGTTAAGGACAGCCTGGGCTACTTAACAAGCGATACCTTGTCCCGATGAAGAGTAATGGCAGTGTCTCTGGATGAGTGTGCCATCTCTGTCCTGAAATAAAATCAGGAGGCTGTTAACTTGTTAGGAACTTACTTTACCTGCCATGGCAGTTTTACATTTGGATGTTTACAATGCTTTGCTGTTTGCAGAGCATTTTCACATTCGCTGTGTTATTCACATGTCTGCAAGGTACTGGAGACTCACAGATGAACAGTGCGGGCCAAGAAATAGGCTGTCAGGGAGGCAGACGTCGTGTGCATATGAGTATAACACTGCAGAATGAGTAGCTACAGAGATAAGCAGCACGGGCCAGAGCCTCTTGAGGGTGTCTCCTCCCCCTGATCAGTCTGTAGATTCATGGCTGTTTCCCCCCACGTACTCACACACACCAACCTGTGAGCATTGCTGACCAGTTCACTCAGTCAACAGGTATTTGCTGAGCCCTGCTCTGTTACAGTCACTGCTCTAGGAATGTAGGCTGCATCACTGAACAGGATAACTAAAAGTGGGCTGACCTTATGTAGCCTACGTTCTAGTAGCAGGAGGCTGATTGCAAGCAACTACACAGTAAGAACACATGGCAGGGTGAGAACAGCGGTGAGAATGGAGCAGTGCAATCAGGAGTAATGTGGGGAGCAGTATCAGGTGAGGTGGCCCATCCCAGTGTCACTGGGAGAACGAGGAGAGCCTTGGGGAAGGAGGCAGCTGAGCGGGACTAGCCCGGCACACTTGAGGGACAGCAGGGAAGCCTGTGTGGCCTAGCAGGGTTGAGAGTTAGTGAGGGAAAGATGTAACCAAAGCCAGTGTCCTAGAGTGCCTGGAAGAAGGAATTACCCTTGGCCTGATACAGAAGGCTGTTTGGTAGGGAAGACCCAGAGTTTGTGGCATCCTGAATGACAGGTTTTCAGTTCAGGAATTCTGAAAAGAGGTCAGTGGTACATAGAAATTTGGGAGTGGTTGGCTACAGAGATGACAGTTAAAGCCATGAGATCAGATAAAATCTACAGGGTATAAGTTTAGGCAGAAGAATAGAAAAACAGAGATTTGCCTTAGGACCTAAGAGGTTGAGAAAAAGTAAAGGAAGGACTCAGAAGGGAGACCAAGAAGGAGGAGAAGGGTAAGAGGAAAGCCAGCACAGACAGGCTCCAGGGAGGGGGGCGCTGACCATGTCAAGCTGCTGCTAAGTCAAGTGCAGTGAGAGCCAAGAATTCTCCATATGATTTAGTACTACAGAAATCGTGGTGGCTTTCACTTGACCACTTTCAGTAGACTGGGCAAAACTGGAGGCAGCAAACAGAGACAACTTTTCCAAATTTTGCTGCAAAAATGAACAGAACAACAGGCAGGAGAAGTAGCAGAGTCAGAGACAAGAGAGGCCCAGGGATGTGACTTGCTTGTAGCTTGCTTGTCTAGCATGTGCAAGGCCTCCATCCTCAGCACCACAGAAAAAAGGAGGGATAACATGCTGCTGTGCTCAGCGAGAATGGAAAGCTGGTACATGATGTGAAGGGGGAGACTTCCTGAAGCCATGTGCTTGGAGTGGGCAGCGGGGAGTGGGACCCGTGTAAAGGCAGTGCGGCCGGCTCTGCGGGATGCCGCGGTAGCTTGTGCACAGTGGCGGGTGGGCAGGTGAGAAGGAGGGAGTTCACCCAGCACTCCTGCCGTTGCTCATCTGACAGAAAGAGACGGGAGCAAAGACAAAGGAGAAAGTCCAAATACACCTCTATGACAAGGGCCGGCAAAGCTTATCTTAAAGAACCAGACAGTAAATATTTTAGAATTTGCAGCTACTCAGTTCTGCCATTACAGCCAAAAGCAAACGTTGAATGTCGCCATTTTCCACTTGCATTCTACAGCTGTGTCCCAGAGAAACTTTTGCTTTTCAAAGCACGTATCCAGCCTGTGGGCCATGGTTTGCTGTTTCTTATTGTAAGAGAATGGGGAAGTGACCAACCAGGGATGCATAACACCTGCAGCATGTATTCAAATGTGAACTAGTTTACATGGCTGTGTGTGTTTCTCCAGCCAAGTTCAGCCACATGGGAACAGGCCTGGAATAGGTGGAGAACTTGGCTCGTGTGACTCTCCAAAGGGCAAAGGAACTGGGAGTATAATGACTGGCCGTGAACTTGCAGCTGAGTTGGGAGGGCATTGAGGGTGAGGACCGATGGATAGGCAGTCCAAATGGCTGGTGGAAGGCAGAGTACCAGGTGGCACGAGCTGGAAGACAGAATGTGGTCTGGGAAGGGTGGGGCTGCCATTACTAGTCAGGCCAAGGTGACAGAGTGGCCTGTGCATGTGGAGGACAGGATCACTGGATCAGAAAACATGAAGACACCAAAAGCCACTGTTGGCGGGTCATTTCTGTCCACTGAAGTCACAAGAACTGAAGCAGGCGTGAGATACTGGAGTGAGAGGCACTCTTACAGTTCTAGATGGGTGTCAGAATAGCTACCAGCTCTTAGTAGAAGACAAGAAACCTTTCGTCTTCAGGTTGTCAAGGGTGGCAGAAGCACAAGGGGAGGGGCATGATGCCACTTTTCAGAAACACAAGTGGTTTTGAGGAACACTCGTGGAGAACTAGGTAGATGAGCAGACAATCTTGTCTTGTAATGGGAGCTTTAATAGGTGGACAAAGTGTAGGGATGACTGAGGGAGGCGAGAATAGAACCAAAGGGAGATGATGAAGAAATGATTATAAGCCGGCACCAGTGCCTCACTTCTGTAATCCTAGCTTCTCAGGAGGCTGAGATCTGGAGGGGCGCAATTCAAGGCCACCTGGGCAAATAGTCCATGAGACCCCATCTCCAAAATAACCAGAGCAAAATGGACTGGAGGCGTGGCTCAAGCGGTAGAGCACCTGCTTTGCAAGCTTGAACCTCTGCTTTCAAACCCCAGTCTCACTTTAAAAAAATTTATTTTTTTACTGTATCACCAGAGACCCAAAAGAGGTTAAAAGTCTTGAATTTGCATGGCTGGACAGTGTGTTTCAGCCTCAAGATCATTGTAAGTGACCATGTACTATTCAAGGAGAATGAAGGATTTTTTTCCCTTACCCACAGACTACTGTCAGGTACTTGAAAGACAAGATGCATGTCTGTGAAGCAGTAGTACAGTAGGTATAGTAGAGTGCTTATTGCTCCAGAACTTCCAAACTCCCTCAGTTTTTAGTTTTGGTTTGGTCTGGAATGAGTTATGGTGAGTCTTACCACAGTTAATATTAAACTCTTGTAATCCAGCTAGCATCGTCTTAATCAAAGCAGAAGGTGGTCTTTTTATTCATAGGATTATAAAACAAGAGATGTTACTGGTGATGTGAAGAATATTGTAAGATTTGTTCAAGAACACAGTTCATCACAAGGAACAAGAAATATAGGTCCTTCTGGAAGATTTACTCTCAACATGCTGGTAGACATTTTCTTGGGTAAGTCATCTATTTTATGGTTGAGTTACAGCACTTGAAATTAAACATCGAAGAATTATGCTGGGTGTGGTGGCTTACCCCTGTAGTCCTAGCTACTGTGGAGGCAGAGATCGGAAAGATTGCAGTTTGAGACCAAGGCAAAAAAGTTCTTAAGACCCCATCTCAACCAGTAGCTGGGTGTGGTGGTGTGCACCTGGCATCCCAGCTACTTGGGACGCGTAAATAGGTTCGTGGTGTAGGCTAGCCCAGGTGTAAACGTGGGCTGTATCCCAACAGTAAGTAAAAGCAAAAAGGTCTGGGTGAGTGGCTCAGGTAGTAGACACCTGCCTAGCAAGCATTTGCCCTGAGTTCAACCCCAAGCAGCACTAAGAAAAAATAATTTGTTAAAAGTACATAGGAAAATATGTCACTGAGATGAGGAATTTTCATACACACACACAAATAAATAATAATAAAGCTTATGAGATTCATCTGAGGGAGTGGACTGTAACTTGAACTATATATAGAGGCTTCCGGTTCTGCTTGAAACCCTATTAAAATGATAGTAAGGAGATAAAGGGGAACCCAGCATGGTGGTTCATGGCAATAATCCCAGCACTCAGGAGACTGAGGCAGGAGAACCATGAGTTCAAGGGCAGCCAGGGCTATATAATGAGACTCTGTCTCGTGAGAGAGAAGAGAGAGGAAAACGAAGAAGAAATCATGAAGAGAAGACTAAATCCAGAGCAGTCTAGAGGAAGAGAGAGGCCACCGTCAGGTTAGGAGTTTTAAGAGTCTTTTAGGAAATGAACAACTACAATAAAAACACAACCCAGAAAACCTGGAGTAGGGGAGAGCTAAGCAGCCAGGCAGAGCCCCTCGCTAAGATCAGCCTTGAAGTCTGAGGTGCAGAGGGTGAGATAAAAACCAAGGAAACCGCCGGGTGCCAGTGGCTCATGCCTGCAATCCTAGCTACTCAGAAAGCAGAGATCGGGAGAATGACGTTTCAAAGCCAACCAAAGCAAAAAGTGAGACCCTGTCTCAAAAATCTCCAACGCAAAAGTGGAAGAGTACCTACCTAGCAAGTGTGAGGCCCTGAGTTCAATCCCCTGACAAAAGAAAAGCTGGTAGAATGGCTCAGGTGAACTCTGCCTCAAAAAAATGGAAAGAAAAGAAAAGGAAGAAAGTCTGTCCACAAAACAACTGCTGAGGACCAGCCTGGAGCTGACTCTAGAACAAGCGTGAAGTAGAGGACGAAGTTAGGGCCCAGAGCCTCTAAGCAGGTGGGGACCACCATCCCACCCACTCACCCATTCACCCTACAGCACTGCTGATGGGGGTTCCTGCTTGAGGAAAGAGTTGTAGGTGAGCTAGATGTAGATAAGAAACACAAAGGAAACCCACTTAAAAAGTTTCAGCTAGCCCCTGAAAGTTAACACAAATGTGTAACCAAGGACACAAAACAGCTGAGCACCTGTGGCTCACGCCTGTAATCCTAGCTATGAAGGAGGCTGAGGTCAGGAGGATTGTGGTTCAAAGCCAGCCTAGGCAAATAGTTTGTGAGACCCCCATCTCCAGAATAACCAGAGCAAAATGGGTTGGAGGTGTGGCTCAAGTGGTAGAGCGCCTGCTTTGCAAGCATGAGGCCCTGAGTTCAAACCCCAGTATTGCAAAAAAAAAAAAGAAAGAAAGATTTGTACCTTTGGGCTGGTGGAGTGGCTCAAGTGATAGAGCTCCTGCCTAACAAGTGTGAGGCCCTGAGTTCAAACCCCAGCACTGCCAAAAAGAAAGAAGAGTTTGTCAGCACTGTGAGCTTTCCTATGGAACATGTGCTCTCTTCTGTTTGCTCAAATAGGTCCATAAATGACTTCTTCGCCTCTTTTATGGATTGTGGTGCACCTGCATTTACTCATACAACTTTCTGTACCTTATTAGGGAGTAAGAGTGCAAAAATCCAGTCAGGTATATTTGGAAAGGGATCTGCATACTCACGACACAACGCTGAAAGACTTTTCAAGAAGCTGATCCTGGACAAGATCCTGGATGAGGACTTGTACATCAACGCCAGTGACCAAGCGATCGCCTACGTGATGCCGGGGGCTAACGCCCAAGCCGTCCTGAATGGACAGATAAAGGTAAGTATGGTGTTTTACTATCTCACAGTGAGCGAGCTTTAGGAAAACATTACAGCAGAGTTTGTTCTCTTTTCCAAAGCCTGCAGGTACTGAATTTATATATGCTATTTTGCCCCGTAGGAACAAAACCTCTTTAACTGGGATGACATCTTAAAATTAAACCCAGACAATGTGGCATCGTCAAAATGAACTAGTAGGTTATGAGGTCGCTGAATGTTCCTGTGTTCATTAGCCAGGCTTTTGTTAAGAGGCTGTGTTGTTCAGATCCTGTTCCCAGGGGGCTTGCTGTCTGCATGACAGAAGAGAAATGCAAAAAGATGGGTGCAGATAGCATGGAACCTGCTTGGGACACGCATTCCTCTACCCACTCCTGTCTTCTTTCTCTCTCACTAAGGTAGACTTCATGGAAACAGAAAATTCCAGCAGCATGAAAAAACAAAAAGCTTCAGTGGCCAAAGTATCTCAGAGGGAAGAAGTGGTTAAGAAATGCCTTGGCGAGCTTACAGAGGTCTGCAAGTCTCTGGGGAAAGTTTTTGGTGTCCATTACTTCAACATCTTTAACACAACCACCCTCAAAAAGCTTGCAGGTAGGTGCCTGGGCCTGCTGTACACAGCACACGTTAGCCTTGAAAAGTTCAACTTGCTAAGGGGCTGTTTTATTTTCATTTTTATTGCTTTTGTGACAGGGTCTCTATGCAGCCCAGGCTGGTCTCAAACTCCTGTTCCTCCTGCCTCTGCATCCTTAGTGCTGGGATCGTGGGTGTGAACCACCATGGCTGGCTGCTAAGATGTATCAGTCTAATTTTTTTAATTTAATCTCTGGGTTGAAAACAGAGAAACTGTTTAAACTCATTCTTGAGATTAAAAATATAATTCTTTAAAATATGCCATTCCAGATATGTGGAATAACTTTAATTTTATACTTTGCTCTAAAGCCAGATGTTATGTTATGGATAACTGCCGTCTATAAAACCAGATGTCAGTTCCTCAAGCTGAATATTTACCTGCTTTATAATGTTTAGCTATTTATGTTCACATGTCTTTGCAACAAAGAACTAAGTTCTTAAGAGAAGAGATTGTGTCTTAACACTTCTTTCAATCTAGTTCTAGCAGATTCCAGTGTCTTTAATTAAGAAATGCCTGCTGATCTGAGTCATTAAACATGAATTAGGATAGCTCAACCCGGAATTGCAGAAGTGATGTCTGGTCTATAAGTTGTTCTGTAACTGACTGGTGTACACTACCTTCCGTGTTCTTCCTTTATATGTCTCACAGTCATCACCTCTCTTTTCCATGCCCATGCTGGTTTTGGGTTTTGTTCGGGGGATTGGACCTAGGGCCTCCTTCGTGCTAAATGCAGGGTCTGCACTGAGCTACAGCCAGCCTACCCATTCTGTTTCAGTGGCAGTGCTTTCTTCGTGACACCAGAAGGTGTCAACAGAAGGTTGCACATCTCTCGGTGACAAAAATGTAATGCTGCTTCATCTACTCTGGGCATCTTTTTTAGGTCATGTAAAGTACTTAGTGTTGCTTGCAAAAAACAAAAAACAAAAAAAAAAAAAAACCTATGAAGTTGTGGTCATTTTCTTAAGATAGTGCTTCAATAATGCCAAATTTACTGGCCTGCACTCAGTCAGCTTTTAATACCGATGGTCTTTTGAAGACATTTCTTGTGGTGTGAGACTCACTCTTGCGAGGCCCCAGTAATGCAGTGACTTTGTTGACCTCCCACATTATTAATAGCTGGGCCTGCGTCCTCACACACACAGTCAGTAACCACCACAGGACAGCTGCCATTTGGCTGTCAGCAGCTGAAAGAAAGTGTGTGACTTGAATCCCTGGGCTGGTAGTGTAGATCCTACCAGGTCTCCTGAGCTCCAGATGTGATACGTGCTTTAATCTTTCCAGAACCACTAACTGTAGGAGCAGTGAGGATGGAACAACCCAGAACAGGAGTGGGGACACAGGAGGGGCTCGGGTAGGAACTGCAGGCTGGACCTGTAGGGTTTATTGATGTGTGGCTTTGGGAGTGAGCATCTGATTTGAGCAAAGGGTGAATTACAAATCCTTCTCAATCTGTGATTCTTGTATCACTCCCATGTTGAGAGGAAGAGTGCCAGACTGGGTCACAACAGAAGGCTGCCAAAGGGTTAGTGGAAGACCCAGTGGGAGAGGAGCAGAATTGCTCCTGCAGTCATCTCGACCATCCTCCCGGTTTCTGCTCTTCCCCACAATTCACAGTTGTGTACCACAGTCAGTGACCTTTAAATGGCAGGCTTGTCAGGTGCAGGATGAAGGGCCATCTCTGCAGAGAACTCTGACCGCCTGCATGTTGTTTCGCTCCCTCGTGGGAAACACTGGAGGAAGAGCAAGTTAGGGCTGGGGCAACTGCAGCTTGGATCTGCCCTCTTGGGTGGGGTGTACAGATCTGGGGCTCCAAGAGGAAGTTGGAGCTGCCATGCAACGTGGGTGTTCTCAGCAAGCAGAGGGGAGCATCCATCTTGTAGCTTGACAGGTGCTGAGTCTGCTGAAGTCTGAGCACACAGCCCAGGGCCTGCCCTCTAGCTTCTCCCAAGCCCTCAGCAGCTCCCTTGTGCTGCCCTAGCTGATGCACTTTTGCCGATAGGTTGCACTGTGGGCCCCTGGCCTTGGGGCCTGTCTGCTGCCTCTAGGTGCTGAGATTGCCTTTTAGAAAACTGACCCATGGGCCAGTGCTCAGCAGTTAGTGGACACTTGACAAGTATGAGCTGACTGAATGAGTGAGCATGAATTCGTGGGTTTTCTAGGGGTGGTAATTTAAATTCTTAATTTTATGTCCTGTGCAGAATCTTTATCTTCTGACCCTGAGGTTTTGCTTCAAATTGATGGTGTTACTGAAGACAAGCTGGAGAAGTATGGTGCAGAATTGATTCCAGTGTTGCAGAAGTACTCTGAGTGGACGTTGCCAGGTTCAGTATCCAGACATGTGTGCGTTCGAAGAGCCAGTCTTAGCATTAAGCAGTGCATTGCACTGAGTTAGAATTACGTGGTTTCTGGGTTGTGTTCATGCCTCCTACACCTTGTCACACTGAAGTGCAGGTTCCAGAGAAGCCAGTCACTAACCCCCACACTTAGAGCCCACTGGACCCAGGCATCTCTGGTTCTGTTAAGGGAAATGCCCAAGGAATCACGAGCCCTTTGGTCCCACCATCCCACATCTGCCCCCATCTTCCTCTGTGTGGTTCTTGGCAGGCTACCAGCAACCTCCTTGTACATCAGAGTCCTTATCTGAGGAAGGAACGCCTTATCTAACAGGCATGTCTGAGATAAAAGTGAAGAGCAGGGTTTAAACATTTCAGAAAACTAACACGCCACTGGAGTGCTGTTGTTATTAGTCATTGAAAGAACCTGCTCGAGCAAGGGCGTCACAAGCAATACGCCCAAATGATGCTTAGGCCTGCTCTGGAGGGCCACATCACGAAGCTCTTCGATGGACCGTGGAAAGCACTGACCAAGGGAAAACTTGGGAGACAGTGAAAGGGTAGAAGCGTGCCCTCCACTAACAGTGCCACGCAGTAAGACCAGCTGGCCAGCCACTTCGATGTTTTCTTAACTCTGTGCTAGCCTGGGGCAGGGATCTTCTCAAGGCTGATGGAAATGGTGAACAGGATAAGAAATAAGTAAGGGTCCGAGCTCTTATCATGATGTTTTTTTATCCATTAACAAAGTTCTGAAAAGCAGGGTTTTCATAAATTCCTTTACATGGTAATTATTCCATTAAAAACTATGCTTTGAATCACTTGACAGCCTCTCCATAGGAACTTAGCCTTTGTTCATATCATCACTGGTTTGGAAGACACTGGTTTTGCCAACATGAGGCAGGGCTACAGGGCCAGAGGAACAGCTGAGGCAGTGGAGTGCAAGCGTGGAGCCCCGAGTTCAAACCGCAGTACTGCCAGCAACAGCAGCAAAAACCACAGATAGGGCTACAGGCAGGTAGCACAGCCTAGCCTGCACCACGGCTGCTCTGGTAAACAGCCCAATGGTACGGCAGCAACCGTCCTATGTATGAGGGCTTTGCGCACACACTGTGCTAAGAGCTGTGCCTGTTACACTACCTCCTCCTCACACCTGTTTAACAGATGAGGAGAGTGGGGTTTTTCATTTTCCTGGGGTCACACAGCTAGTGTGGCAGAGCTTATGCCCCAACCTGCATGGTGAAACCCAGAGGCCTCCCGTTGTAGGAAGAAGGGTGGCTTGGAGGGTGCCTAGATCAACCAGCAAATGAAGGCAGATCACTGTGACCTGCGGGGAGCTCTCTTGCTTTGGGGGTTGCCTTGGGCTGCAAATACCTATGGAAATTACCATCTTCTTTGCAAATGTGTGCAAATGTCCAGTCTCCTGCAGAATCTGCCACATGTTCACAACAGTTATGCAAAGAATTGGCTTTTGTCATGAAGAGCAAAACAGGGTGTAGAATTTTCTGGTGCCCATTTATTAAGAGACTATTGTTCAAAGATGAGAGAGAGCATAGTTTATATTTTCCTTATATCAGGCTTGTTTTTCATGTTTTAAATGACAGATAAAATTGTCTAACATTTATATAGCACTCTGTACTTTTCAAATCACTTACCAAAATTAACTGCCCGATCCAAAACAGACCCAGGCCACACACAGCAGAGCGTGAGTTAAAGATTATCACGTATTTTTAATATAATGAATTCTGATTCTCGTTCATTAAAAATAAATTACCACTGAGCACATTGGGGCTTTTTGAAATAAAAAAGAAAAGTTTGATTTCCTCCTGAATTGTTTCCTCTGTATGGCAAGGGGGAAGCAGGAGAGCAAACTAGGCTCTGTACTGTGCCTGTCATACCGACCATACAACACATGGTGCCCTTCTATATCACCTGTAAATGTCTGCGTTTCCCGTTTGTAGTTGAGCACAGCTCCCCAGGCTTGAGCTTGTCGGGCAGCAGAGGCTCAGGAAGGAGCGCCCTGAAGGAGCCTGACGGTGAAGAGCCCATATCTTCTCACTATTTTGCAAATCCAACCAGAAATGAAAGAAAGAGGAAGACGACGTCAGCCTGCCAAAAGCCTAAGAGGAGGAGAACTAGTTACAGTGGCTTCAGGGCAAAGGGGTACGTTCTTCAGGGTTCTTTGCAACCCAGGGCCCAAGGAGGAAAGGATAGACGCTTCCCTGCTCTGGCTTGCTTTGAAGCACTTATTAAAATTAGCCATTACTAAATATTGCTTCTGCAGTTAGTGGACTGATCCAAAACAAAAACATTGCTTCTGATTTTTAAAATCATCTACACCTAATTAATTAACATCAAAGTTTTCTACTTTGCAAAAACTTCCCTGGATTTGACCTTAGAAATTTTTTTTGTTCTGGGGTAATTTTCTTTTCCACAAAAACACTACAAATCATACAGTAGCTGAATAAAGAACAAAGGATTTGTGGCCCTGGTTTTTATGGTTCTGCCAGCACTGTGGCACTGCTTCTGGCTGCACCTCCACCTGGATCCACATCCTGCTCCCTGCCTTCATCATGCCTGGGAGCCTCACCCTCCCTGCCTCACCATAGTAACTGAGAAGACCACAGACGGGAACCCAAAAGGTCAGGCAGGGGTTGGTGGAGTGGCTCAAGTGGTAGAGTGCCTGCCTAGCAAGCATGAGGCCCTGAGTTCAAACCCCAGTGCCCAAAAAAAAGGTCAGGCAGACCAGGCTTCTTCATAAACTACACAAGTGGCTTTCTCCCTCTCCCCTTTCCCACCTTGCCTGGGTCTGGGCTGGGGCACACTCTGCACAAGGGGAAGCAAACGCGGCATGGCCAGGTCTTAGCAGCTGCTCATTTTCATCGCTGGTTTTGTTTTCAGCAGCCCCTCCCTCTCTCCCAATTTCTGCCAGGGCCCCACCACCTTCTGCCTTGCAGGTAAGGCCTGGCAGGATGCCCACCTCCCATCAATCTGGAGAACATGGCCTCAAAATAACTCATATTATAACAGAATTGCTTAGAAATAGGAAAACAAGTCTGCAGTCAACTTTTGCAAGCTGCTGTGTTTGCTTGTGCAGTTTTTCTACCTCTTTCCTGCTGGGTAATAAAAACAAGATTGAGTGGGGGAGAGAAAGGAAGGCAGACCTTACCAAATTGTCATTTCTTGTTAAATCCATAAACATATGTGCTAATCCTTCTGCCAGAGCTCAGAAATTAAAGGCATTAGTCAATGTTACTTTAATCCTGTGGTTTTTAGTGCGCAAGTGACCAACAGACAATGTTCAGTGAGGGCGTTTTCTCATTTCCTTCATTTATTCCTCCGCCTTGGGAAATACTTATTTCCTTAGTTGCTCACACAGAGCATGAGACCTTAAAAGGCTTCTGGTCCAACCCCCTGGTGGGGAGGCGAAGCTCTGGCCTGGCCTGGCCTGGCCTGGCATAGGGAGGGCTTGTCCGAGGCCATCCTAGCCAGGTCCTTGAGAACATGCATGGTCGCTCATGCCATGTTATGGTGTTTGCTGCTGTTGGTTTCCTTATTTAATTTTCATAGCATTTGTTTGTAAGAGTGAGGCACTTGGCTGTGTCACCTAGAACCTAATGGAATAAGAAGTGGTAAAATTCACATTGTCCACAAGCCAGTACCGCTTTCCATGCTGGCTTTGAGTTGGCCTGTGTATTTAGGTTGGGTTCTTTTCTAATCCCCACCAGCTGAAAGTCCCCCTTGGAACTTTTTTCTCCCTCGCAGCAGCCTCTTTGTGTGCGCTCCATCCTGGTTTCTAGCTACCAGTCTGCTCACCTGGTGACGTCCCTGTCGTGAAGGAATGCCTGTGGCTCCCTGCCAGAGCCCTTCACCCTCCGGAACAGTGCACAATGAGCAGTTGTGTTCTGGGCTCTGAGTGGGAGGAAGGTGGATAGTGGTGCAGTGAGGCTGCTGTTGGTCCATTCCTTCTGTAAATAACATAAACAGCAGCTTTTCACTTGGGGCTTCATTTCTGGCAGGCAGTCAGCAGAGGAAAACTTCAGGCTGCCTCTCTGCTGCTTTCCCACATCTGCCCAGATCTGTGGTCCAGTCGCCCTCCAGTGTCGATGACACCAGGACAGGCTCTCGGCACCTCCCCAGGTCCCAGGGTCCCAGGTGCCACTGGCCTGTGCAAAACTGAGCTGCACAGGTAGCCCCCAACGGCATGGGCCCTGGGGCGCTGAGGGAAGAGGCCAGTGCCTAGATTCCACTATTCAAACCTACTATCCATGTCTGTGTACACACCTAACAGTGAAGAGTTTATTGTGAAATAAACCCTCTGCTAGCAAAAGTAAATAAATAACCACCCTCCGGCTAGAGTTTAAAATGTTGAAAACAAACACTCTCCCCAGCCCCACAGGAGCAGTGTTACTCAGACTGTGACCCTGGTTCTCTGGACCTCAGCTCAGCTAGGAGGCCACTTGCCTGCCCCGGTGCTATGTAGTCAGTGGCGGTCAGACCTGGGCAGGGCTGCAGAGCAGCAGGAAGGGCTCTGGAGGTAGTGCTACTGTCCCTGGGTCAGCAGAAGGACTGTGATAGGCCGTGGCAGGAGCTTCTCCCCACTTGAGGTCGGTTGAGGAGGCTGCAGGTGGGAGGGAAAAGTCGGCAGTCTGTGGGTGTGAGCAGGTAACTGCTGGCCCTGACACTTGCCAGACCAGTGGATGAGGCAGCCGCCTTTCCCAGGAAGCATTCCCTAGGCTAGTCCTGGCCGGGAGGAGCCAAACTTACCCCACTGCCTTGCTCAGCCGTGCAAGAACTGCCATTCCAGGGTGTCTGTTGGCCAGGGCTTTAGGGCCTTAAAAAGTGTTTTCACTTCCTTTATTTGGTTGGAATACACGGGCTATGTGGACCTCAGCTGTTACCCCAGGAAGGGACTCTGACTGTGCTGACTGTGGCCATGGAAGATGTGGGTGGAGCAAGCATCAGTTTAGTCACAGTTTAGACATTTTAGAAAGGCAATTCAGGCCAGATTTGTGTGATGGGCAGCAGTCCTTTATTCCTGGAGTCGCAAAGGAAATTTGCCTGTCCCACGGCAAAATGTGTGACCAAGGAAAATTGTAGAGTGTGTTAAGAGAAAGGCCATTCACCTTGGTTTTCATTCTCCATCCTAACTTTCTTCTCTTTGTCACCTTTTAGGGTGTCTACCACATATAGAAAGACGTCTTCCAAAAGCCAGTCCTCCAGTGCCATCGGATCGGGTCTGGCCTCGCGTGGGCCTCAGGCAGCATCGGGAGCCAGTAGAAAACTGGGCATAATGGCTCCTCCAAAGCCTGTGAATAGGCCGTTCCTGAAGCCTTCCTATGCACTCTGCTAACAGCATCTCTGTGCGTACATCTCCCTCACTTGTCAGCCTCGACCATCTGTGACTATCAAGCTGTTACTCTTGTTAGATCGTTTAAATTTTTACTCATATCGATTAATATTTAAATAAATAAACAATTTCTTGTGAGCCACACACTTTGCTACCACTGCAGACGTGGCCACTGTTTCTTAGAACGCCTGAAGCAGTCGATGACTCATCTGTCCTACTGACATTGTAAGCATGACCTGAGACCTCGAAGCCAAAGGCACACATGGGACATTGTGAAACTGTAGAACTTCTTGTACATGACAGTGTCAAAAAATCCAAGGTCAAATGACAGGGAAATGTATTACGAAGGATTAATATCCGTAATGTACAAAGAGTACCCATAAATCGTTAAGAAAAGCCAGCACAGAAGACAACTGAACAAAGCACTCGAACTGGCATGTGTCAGAAGGCAGTACAAACGGCCCGCAAATACGTGAAAATGCCCCCACCTTCCGAATTAAGAATAAGTTAAAGCATGTCAGATTGTCCGCACTGGAGCTGGGAGCTGGGCTGGGTGGCACGCCCCTAGAGTCTAGCCACTCCAGAGGCTGAGGCAAGAGGACCGCTTGAGCCCAGGACTTCAAGGTCAATCTGAGTAACATAGACGCCATCTCTTAAAAAAAAGACTGCCAACATTGGCTAAAAGTAGTCAAACATTATTGGCAAGAAAATATTAAATACTGGTTTTCCTCTTCGTTTGTCCTTTGATTTGCCACTGCCTGAGGCCTGGGACCGGGACAGTTGCACCCAGCTTTCTAGCGTGAACAGTTTCAGAGAAACCATCGTTCTGACACGTGGTGATGAGTTAGGAGTGGAAGACTGAGTAGCCAGGGCTTGAGGCCATGGATAGCGTCCCAGTACAAGGTCACCCTGGGGAGCTGCCTTCCAGCAAGGACATAGCATTCCACTTTCTAAAGCAGGGTGGTGACTCCCCGCAGGGCTGGTGCCACATACCCAGGCACTGGAGATGTAGATGGCCTCTCAGGAGAACACACTCGTCCTCGCAGGGTTCCCAGAGCCGTGGGGGAGACACAGCTGCGTGGACAGGCCAGCTCACCCACAGTCCTTCCTGCACCTCAAGGACAGGGCTGTCACCCACCTCCCAGGAGGAGCCTGAGGCCCGGAGGTCTTTGACTTCCCCACAGTCTCGTAACCACAAGTGGCAGAGCCAAGCCCCACACCCAGCTCTGGGAAAACGCTGTAGGTTAGAATAGTCTGCTTGCTCAGTGTCTCCTGCCCCAGGAGCAGGCCCCGAAACACAAGCTGCTTCCATCTTGCAGATTGGCCTCCAGCCTTCCCAGGCACCTCAGGAAGGTGACTGCTCCACAGGGGCAGAGACAGGTGGCAACAGCAGAGCCTGTGGGACCGGGGACCCTCTGTGGGCACAGAGTTACCACCACTTGGGAAGGCTGGGGACAAGTCCACCAGGAAGTTCCAGCTTGGGACCATCTGTGTATGTTCCCCTAGGCAGCACAGGCCTGACTGTTTCGCCATTGGAGTCTGGCTCTACAGCTCTGCACACCTCCCTGAGGCCTTGCACTGCAGAACTGACAGGTGGACCCTGGACGGGTAACCCACGAACGAATGACTCAGGAAGAGAATGGACATTGAGAGCCCAGGCTTTGCCGAGGCTGTCCAGAAAATAAGAATGTACTCCGTTTCTTGCAGAATCCAGAAAGGTTATGTAATTTGCCCAAAGCTGCACAGCTAGGAAGTGGTAGTGAGCAGGCTAGCACAAACCCCACTTTGCCACGGTTGCGTGTGATAATCAGCACAGTCCCCCTTCATCCAAAGTGCTCCGTTAAGACCGGGGGCTGCATGGAATCCAGGTCTGTGCTCTTGAGAACCCGCTCTCCCTGGTCAATCCAGCCTCGTCTCCCAGCCCCATTTTCCAAGGCCTCTGGCCACCAGCTCCGACCTGCCCTGCTGGAAACAGCAGGCTCAAGGGACAGGCTCAGGGGGGCTGCAGAGCCCACAGCCAGCCCAGCTGAGCTGTGGCTACTTCACAAGAGGAAGCAGTGAGGCCCAGGGTCTCGCTTCTCCTGAGAAACTGGCTTCCCCACCTCCCACGCAGCCCACCCTGTTCTCTGGAGCTCCAGAGGCCCAGCCCTACCTCTTCCTCAGCTCTGAGCAGCTGCCAGGGTGGGGGAGCTGGCAAAGGCCTCTGGGCAAAGAACCATGGCCTGTGGGTGCTCTGCAGTAGCTGGGACGGAATCTCCTGCAGCCTCTGTCAGTGCAGCTTCCACAGTCCCTGTGTGGCTCCAGCAGGGACTCAGAGGCAGCCTGGGGTGCACTCAGGGGCCCCAGGCTCTGCCCAGCCCTGGCTAGGTGCTATGGGCTCTGAGCTCAGCTGCTGGGTGCCCCAAATCAAGGGCTGGATCTCTGCAGCTATGCAGAGCACACAAAGTCTGGAGGACAGGGACACTCCCGCCTCCCATGATGTGAGGAGAGGAAAGGGGAAAGGGAGTGAGACCCCACAGTGGTTAAGGTGGCCTGCAGGTCCTGTTCTAATGACCACTGGGAGGAACAGGTGGGACAAGAGGCCACTTGAGACCACGCCCCAAGGAGGGCGAGGCTGGATCACTGGAGCTGGCCAGGTGTGAAGGGTGGGGTTTGTTGTCTTCCTGGCTCAGCAGTGCAGTTCCACAACTCAGAGGGTTTGCTGACTGTTGGGACGGTGCCAAGATGGCCCCTGGGCTGAGCTCTAGTCAGGATGAGTTCATTCCAGAGGGCCTGTCTGCATGGGTCCCGCACAGGGCCTGCCATGCACCTGCATGCAGACCTCAGGTGTCAGCCTGGCCTGACCCAGTCCCATCCCTCACTCCCTGCCAAAAGCAGTGTGGCCCCAGGAAGGTCAGGCCCTGTCTTTCGTCCAGGGTTGGAGGGCATGCACAGGTTTCTGCCTCCCTCAGGAGAGAAGTGACCCTTGGGATTGGTTAGGAAGTGTACTGAGGACCCTGACTGGGGGCTCCTCACCATGGCCAGGAAGGGTCTGAAGAGTAACAGACTGGGCCACCAGCCTGGAAGAAAGACACCAGAGACACTGAGCCTTGCGGCCAGAGTCCTGCTCAGATCCAGCACCCTGGGGCCTGTGCCATGGGAGGAGCCATGGGACAACCACCTGTGCCTGCAGGTCAGCAGAGACATGCCCAGGTGCCCTGTCACAGGCATCCAGTCTCACCATCAGGTCTCGTGCCAAGGGCCAGTCCAGTGTCAGCAGGACCCTGCCCCTTATTCAGTAGCCTCAGTTTCTCCTCTGCCTGATAAACAGCGCCCACCTGACAGCTGCCTCCCAGGCTGCTGCAGGCACCTTTGGGTTAGGTACTCCACAAGCATTTGCTGGCCAGAACTCAGTTCCAGACATGGCCCTATATCAGGAGGGACAGACAGGAGGCTGAAGCGGCCATGTGACCCCCCAGGCCAGGGATCCCCATGACTGGTCATCCCCATGGGGCCACCCTGTGTCCTCTTCTGTCCTTAATTCACCTTCTGTAAGAACAGAAGGGACATGGACCCCATCCAGGGAGCCCCTTTCTAAACCAAGGCCACTCCACCCGCCAGGACCCTCCTCACTTTGAGAGGGTGAGGAGCCAAAGTCACCCCATCTTTTTTTTTTTTTTTGTGGTACTGGGGCTTGAACTCAGGGCCTTTACCTCGAGCCACTCCACCAGCCTTATTTTTATGAAGGGTTTTTCGAGATAGGGTCTCACAGAACTGTTTCCCCAAGCTGGCTTCGAGCTATGATCCTCCTGATCTCTGCCTCCTGAGTAGCTAGGATTACAGGTTTGACCCACCGGCACCCGGCATCAAAGTCCCCCGTCCTTGGTGGCCACTGGCACAGCAAGAGCTTCAGCTAAGGAGGACCCTGCATGGTTTGTCCCCTCAGAAGCATATTCAAGTTTGATCGTCATCGTGCTGCCATTGGGGGGATAGGAGCTGTTTGCTTACGGAACTCTACTGCTTGGTCACACCTCCAGCTTGGAGGGGGCCTTTTAAAAGGTGGCTCGGTCCTTAGACAGGATTAATGCCTATCCCACAGGACTGGGTTCATTCTCACAGGACTGCTGTAACTACCTTGCCATTGGGTTGTTTTTTCAAATCATTTTATCTTTAATAACCTGGCAATAATTCAGAGCGTGAAAAACAATTCCAACTTGTTCCCGCAGGGCAATGCCACAAGATCTCCTCAGACAAGCAAGGCCAAGAGCAGGGAGAGGTTGGAGTCTAGCCTCACAGCCTGCCTCCTGGCTCACAGACTGACGCATTTTGACCGCAGACTCTCTGGAGTGGAGCAGACGATAGAAGAGAGGTGACATTGAAGGGACCCTCGGAGGACAGGGCGCAGGTGCTGGGTGGTGAAAACCTTGACAAATTTCTCCGTGGTGACTTAGAGTATTTGTGGTCCTGGGGGAAACGAGCTGGATGGGCTGCATAGTGGTGCAGCAATTCTGGGAAACAGGCGCCTACCTTACCCAGAAGCTCCAGCGTCTGCCCCGACTGCCTCGCGTGGCTGTCAGCTGCCTTCCTCACAGTGGCTGCTCACAAAGCAAGTGTGCCCCTGTCCTTTGTCTTTTAGCCATGAGTCAAAGCAGCACAAGGCCCATCGCCAGAAGCCAAGCAGGTGTGATGCCATGATGCTGGACCTCTCAGCCTTCAGAACTGTGAGCTAAATAAACTTCTTTCCTTTACAAGTTACCAGTCTCAGGTGTTCTGTTACAGCAACAGAAAACAGGCAGACCCCAATCTACAGGTCCTGAGTTCAGCCCTGCACCTGTGCTTCCAGACCTAGGTTCCACCCCAGGGCACTGACCTGTAGCAGGTGCCTAGTAATGGTTTGATGGATGGATGGGTGAATGGGTAGATGGGTGGGTGGATGGATGGGGGATGGGTGTGGGGAATGGATGAATGGGTGGGTGGGTGGACGGATGAATAAATGGACGTGTGGATGGATGGATGGGGGATGG